CTAACCACGTCTGCCCTATCATGTAGCAGTATTCCACCAAGTTGTGCAGAGCCAGCCAGTCTGTCCGCCTGTTCATTTCCCAACACACCGGCATGACCCGGTGAAAAAAATCCAGACAATACTCTTCACTTGTGTCCTCCGCAGCGAAGCATGCCACTCTGCATGAAGCATACCTGCTCTGATCTTCCTCAGCATGCTTTCTGAATCAGTTACAATGATATGATATGATAGATATGAAAGGTAAACTGACTTGACTCTGTAATAAAAAACGAATGGAAGCAGAGGTGTGTAATTGCTTCTACCATCTTTACAATATACTTCTCACTCTTTTTGAAATAAGCCTTTCGAGATTAGGAGGCTTGTAAATTCGCCCATTCTCGATCTGACGGCAGCTTATACAATGCTCGTATGCTGTAAGCCATAACTAGGATAATGAAAGTACTTGTCAGAGAGCTGCTGTTTTCAGATGATGCACCAATTACCACCCACTCAGAGGAGTAGCTGCAACGTTCACTGTCTGCATTTGCTCTTGTATGCTGTGAATTTGGACTAACAATCAGCAGCAACAACAACAAAAAGGCAAAGATTATGGTGCACAGTGTTAATGACAGACCTGCAGTCTACACTGGCGGGAAAAGCTGGAGGGAGTTGACCATGTTACATGTGTGGGAACCACAGTGAATAACAAGCTATCGCTGGACCAAGAAATCAACATCATCATCATCATCATCAGGTGCCTTGCCGACTGGCGTGGGCGATCATGCCTCTCCATAATTTGCGATCTGCTGCAGCATGTATCAGTTCGTGTGCCGAAACACCTCCATGCCATGCAACAAGACTGTCAAGCATCTTCTCTCGTTGTCCTCCTCTTTCTCTCCTTCCACATATCTTTCCAGTGGTCACAACATGTTCTATTTTCCCTCTTCTCATAAGATGGCCGAAAAATGATGACTGTCTCCTTCTGATGTCCGTGATAAGTTGTCTTCGGGCTCCCGCCTCTTTCAAAACCTCTTGGTTGCTCTTTTTGGCTGTCCAAGGTATTCTAAGCATTCTTCTGTAAAACCACATCTTCGAGGCCTCCATAAATTGTTTGGCCTGCCTACCGATTGTCCAGGATTCACAGCCATATGTTAAAACTGGGTGTATGTAGCAAGCAAGAATTCTTTTTCAAACTCTCAATGACAAGGATATATTGCACAAGATGTTTTTCATTTTATAAAATGCAGTTTTTGCCTGTCCTATTCTATTTCTTATCTCAGTTATGCATCTTCCATCCGATGTTATCCATGTGCCCAGATACTTAAATTTCTGTACTTTTCCTAAAATAACACCATCAACTTTTAAGAATAATTCGTTTCTTTGATACCACCATTATTTCTGTCTTTCCATTATTCAAACTGAGGCCCATTCTTCCATTTTCTAACACCACAATGTATATCATTTCCTGTAGTTCTTTCTGACTTGTTGCTATCAAGACTGTGTCATCAGCATAACGTAAATTGTTTATATTGTGCCCACCAACCACAATTCCTGGCATACCAATTAAAGCTCTCATTATATATTCACTGTATATTGAAAACAAATCAGGTGACAGTACACATCCTTGTCGTTCGCTCCTCTTTATGCTTTGAAATGTACCTAAACAGCTGTTAATTCTTATAGCTGCTGTTTGCTGCCAATACATATTCTTTATTATTCGTAGATCTGTCCAATCAATGTTTAATTTTTCTAACAGTTTGATTACTTCTTCATGTTTCACACAGTCAAATGCTTATCTGAGCACCTATGGACATGTCCGGAGTGCAATGATGATAACCCAACTAACTAACTAACTAACAGTCAAATGCTTTTGTATAGTCAATATCAGGGTAAGGTGAAAACTACAATGAGCAAATTAACGAAAGGAGTTTGGGAGAACAGAAAGCTCACGATTAAGGCAACTCGTGCCTATCAGGCTTGTATTCTCAGCATTCTTTTTTTTTTTTTAAACGGCTGTGAAGCTTGGTCTCAACTAATTCGCACAAGGAGAAACAAATGAATAGCTTTCACAAGCGATGTCTGGGAAGAATGTTTGGTACTAAGTGATAAGACAAGATCACTAACACTAAGATGTTGAAAAGGGCAGGTGCTACAACTGTTTTGTAATTGCTCAGTCTACGAAGGCTCAGGTGGCTGGGTCACCTGGAGAACGGAGGACATACTCCAACGGAAATTACAGATAAGCAGAAGATGTCGAGGCTGACCTCTACTACGATATAAAAATGTGTGCAAGCTGAACATGAATGATACTTGTATTGAGGTAGATTCATAGGAACACAATGCCACGGATCGTGCTGGGAGGAGGGAGACAATCAGAATGGGAATGAAGGAAGAAATGATTGCAGAACGGATGAGAGTGGGCGCCTGAGAAGACGCACACTAAATACATGAGATGGCAACAATGGTCATGAAATAAAATGCTTTAATTGTGTTTAGCTCTTCTTAACGCTTGGGTCTTCCTAGTTACAGTTGCCATTGCAATGGGCAATGAGTCCTATGCCTCATTATAGAACAGTATAATACTTTCGTCTGGAAAGACGGAAAGTTGCATACAACAACGACATGACTGTTAGGGGGCAGTAGATGTATTCTTTGGTCCCCGATTCCACCTGTTAACCCCTGAAGAATCGTGGTTTCGGAATCCCCTTAAAGAGAGCAAACTGAGGTACCTGGGTATCATTTTCGATAAAAGCCTGTCCTTCAGGGATCATGTGGAGGCAGTTGCTGTGAAATGCCAAAAAGGACTCAGTGCTCTCAAGATGATGACAGCAATGGACATGGAACAAAGAATGTTGCTCACAATGTTCCAGCATGTGATCCTGTCGGTGATAGATTATGGACTTGGCATGCTTGCCATATCAAAGAGGCAGCTGATGAAACCTGAACGCATACAGAATGAAGCCATGCGGGTATTTTTAGGATGCACAAGAGATACCCCGGTAGCATGTATGCGATACATCTTTGCACTGCTTACTATTGCAGATAGGCTCAAAGTTCTGCAAGCAAAGTCATATCTCAGAGTAGCCGCAGACAAGAGGCACCTCCTGCATGAAGCACTGGATAGAGCTAAGGGACACAGACTGAAAAGAGGAAAGTCTTGGATGGCGCAAGCTGAAGACACAATTGGACATGTGTGCAGTCTTGATAATAGGTGAGGAAAGGGGTGGGTCAAAGTGTCTAATCAGGTTTCCCACTTAAGTAGGGTTCTAATCACTTTGGGAGGTGAGTGCAGAGACTGGCCAGCTGGTGCTGGTGCAGAATCAAAAGTTCAACAAATGATTCATGAAAATTCCCGCACAGGTGATATGATTGTATAAACAGATGGCTGTGTTGAAGGGTAGACGACGTGCATAGGGGTTCATAGCGAAGGCGAATGGACGTCGCTTGGTGCAACAAAGCCTTTCTTATGATATCACAACGTTTAGTTTGAGAATAGATGTGGAGGCAGTCACTGCTGCCTTCCGCTGGCTTGGGAGTTAGCTGTACACACATACCGTCATTGTAACTGACTCAGAGAGCATGTTGAGAAAGGTGGAGACAGGCATGCTCCGTGCAGAGTTGCAAGCATCACTTCAAAGGTCCCGTGTAGTTAGCATCCTTTTGGATATTTTATTCAGGTTATGCCGGTGTGTTGAGAAAGAAGCAGGCAGATAAACTGGCTGGTTCTGCACCACTTGGTGGTGAACTGATTTATGACAAGTTGGATGTTATGAGAACCCTTTGGGAGCTAGTGAACAGTACCGAGGCACAGATAGATAATTACGGTCTGAGTAGAATGGTACTGCGGGGAGATACAGGGGGATCTGACCGACGCTTGACACTCAGGGGAAAGGCGAGACGGATATACAATCAGACATTTACTGGCACTATCATAATTTTAACTCTTCGCTTGCTTCCGAAGGGACGGAGTGCTATGGGAGTGTCCAGATTGCTGTGATGTCGATTCTTAATTCAACGTTCTACAATCAACATTTGGTCGTCCAGTTGAAGAGCTATCTATCTATCCTCTGTTTTCTATCATCATCATCATCACAGTCTGCCTGAAAGAAACTCGGTCTCTCGCCAGTTATCCCACCTCATGTGCTTGCATACCCAAGGAGTCATATCATATGCCCATCTTCTTGTTGGTCGGCCCCTGCCCTTCCTTCCTGGTACCATGCCTTCTACTATAATTTTGTCCAATCCGTCGTGGCGCTTGATAAGACCAAAATATTTCAGCTTCCGAGACAGGATGCTGTTTATTAGCAAATCTTTCTTGATGTTCAGATCTTTCAAGATGTCAGTATTTCTTTTCTTCTTTGTCCAAGATATTCTGAGAATTTGTCTATAGCATTTCAGCTTAAAAGCCCTGTTTTCTATAGGAAAGGGAAAAACAAGACAATCAAAAAGTTGCTCGTGCCCTCGGAATCGGAACTCTTCCCTTGCTGCTGAAGGTGGGGACGAAGGGCTTATGAGTGTGTCCCGCATACTATGTTGTCGATTCTTAATTCAACATTCAGTTTGTTCTCTATTAAACTATTTCATGATTGATTGACTCTCTACCCCACCAGGATATAACACAAGCGATAAACACCCGATGACACAAAGTGCTACCATGTGGATGAGGATCGCCGTGGAGAGGTCCCAGAAACCGCGTTCAGACAATGGGCCATAATTATGGCCTGCCTATATTGCGGCACCTGGCAAAAGCCAGGGTGGGGTTTCAAATAACAAAAAATTTCGTCCTAAAAAGGACAAAACATGAATTTAGATAAAACTGCTTCATGCGATTATCCCCCTTGATATAATACAGGGAACCGGAAATCGGGCATCATAATATAATAATAAACATAGCTGACTTGTTGGATTCTGCTAAATATTAGTTACTATACTGATTCAATTATCGACGAATGGTCTGCAAATAACTGACGGCAGCAGCCAAAAACTACAGTACAAATTTGTTGGTGAACATACGTGACAACATGGCAGACCAAGAGCAAAAAGCGATTAATTATATCGCTGAGGCGGAGAAGAAATTAAAATCATCCAAAGGGCTGTTTTCATCCATGTTTGGGTAAGTCTCTTCTACTAAGAACCAGTCTAGTGAACATTGTCTTAATTGTATAATTGACATTTAAAGAACGGTACATTATTCAAGTCTTTACATCGTTTTAAAGCCGAGATATTCTTGTTTTTGTATACATTAATTTTAATAAAAATTATGGCTATCCTCCGAATGACGGGCACATATTATGGCGGCCGCAAAAACAACCTACCAGGGCCCCAGTCACGTGTCAATTGCGCACTTCCGGCGACCTAATTTGTGGTTTTCCGGTGACTACCGCCTCCACCGAAAGTATCCCCTACGCCGCTCATGTGGCGTGGATGGCTAAACTAGATGGCTGGGACTCAGGAGCAGCAGCTTCCACATCTCCTGCAGCTTTGCTCGGGAGTCCCAGTCATCTAGTTTAGCCCCAATCCACGCCGCATGAGCAGCGTAGGGGATACTCTCGGCAGTGGGGGTAGTCCCCAAAGAACCGCAAATTAGGTCGTCGGAAGTGCGCAATTGACACGTGACTGAGGCCCTGTTTTTGGCCGCCATAATATGTGCCCATTATTCGGGGGATAGCCAGAATTATTTCATTTATATATTTATTTCTTCCTCTTGCGTTTGCTTTCTGATTTACACTGACAGACAAGTTCTTTCGGTAAACTTGATTGTTTTTAGGAGTTCCCTTTAGTTCCATACAGCTATGAGTACAGTGTTGACTCAGTGGGCCAGTATTCCTTTCTTAACGTGCTGTACAAAGAAAATTCTTGCAAGACATGTTCTGATGTGTGCACACAGTGTGAGACAGCCCCATGGGCACAACGGTGAACTATGAGTAGACGAAGCCTGCGTATATGATTCTTAATTGTTATGTCCTTAATTGTTATGGGGTGTAGAATAATGACCTGCCATTGCCGATCAAGTAACTATATTTATTATTTTACAAAAAAAATGTCATTGCTGCCTTATCATATATCACTTTTCAGAGCTATGCAGGGGGGAGGGAGGGGGGGGGGGGTGGGCCCGTGAGCCTGAGAATTTAGGGCCTCATAGCTAGTGTAGTCACCAGGAACTGGACATTAGCATTTTATTTGTCTATGATAAAAAAAATCCACCGCCTTACCAATGATTTGAACCGGGATCTCTTAAATGAATACACTGTTCAAACAGCTGCTTCTCTTTTAAAATTAAAACAAAACATGCAAAAATAGATGAACAGGCTATATCATCATTATACACGAAGAGACAGAGTCACAAACGTCAGCATTAGAGACAAAGTAACAAGAGCATGCATGAAACATTCAAGGGCAGAGAATTTATTTAGTAAAATCACCGGATTTTGCTATAAGTTTTACTAACAACTAGATGGAGTAAAATACGGCCAGAATCAGAAAACTGTCACTCAAATCACGCGAGAGTCACAAAACAAATATTTTAAACCACAACACTGGGCTGCAACCCGGTAAAAGTGAAGAAGACAATAGATAAATAGATATCATCATTCAACTAAATTTATCAAATCACTTTGCTGTTTTGTGTCTAACAACTTAAAGAATCATACGTCACTGTATGTGTGACAACAAAACCTATAAAAATGTATGTCAGTGTTTCTTAAAAAAAAATTTCACTGCATTTACAAATAAATGCCTAAGGAAATTGATGAACAATAAATAAGATGAATTTAAGAATGGTCAAGAAATAAGAGAAATATCTGGACCACTGCTGGCATCAACAGTTATAAGACAGAGAAGAAGGCAGTATATTGGGCATATCATTAGAAGAAATGGGGAGAGAATTACTACAGGCACTGAAATGGGAAACATATTGATTGAGAAAATAAGGATATCCAAGAAAAAAACCTGAGACAGACATTTTTGAGAAAGACCAAAAGCACTGGACTGGAATCCATTCCTGATGTCTAAAGGATTGCTTGGGATATGACGGAAAGGAAGACCAAACTATGAGATCTATCCTGCACAGCAGGGTGATGATTATGCATGCAGTTTTATGTGTAACATTCATATTCAAAATGGTTGTACCTTTTTAAAACACTTAATATTGTCATTGAAAATCGAATCTATTATTTTTGCAGGGCAGGGGGATCAAAGCAAGAGGAAGCCTGTGAATTGTATATCAGGGCAGCAAATGCTTTTAAGATGGCGAAGAAATGGCCACGTAAGTCAGATATGTTTATTATTTAGCAGAAATACTAAATGTTACTTCATTCTGCATGATAGTTGTCCTCTTCTGTATTTCCCTGTTACTTTCTGTCGGTCCTGAAATTAAAAAAAAAATTTCCGATTGTTCTTGTTCTTCTGCATTTTCTCTCTAGTTTTACCTTTGGTTTTTCCTCCAGGGCATGCTGGTGTGTTCGGAAATGAACAAGCAGATAGACTGGCTGGTTCTGTCCTACTCGGTCCCTTGAACATATCTGCAACACTTACCCAAAACACTTACCCTGCATTTGTTCTTGTTTTTCCCACAGAGGGACCCAAGAACCCACATGCGGAACAGTTCTTATAACAACATTTCTGTAGATGTGTATTAAAAAAAAAATTATGCACTTATTTCCAAAACTTTTTTGGGAGTCAGTTTTCTCCTTTGTGTTGCTAAATGTCACAGGTTAACAGAGGATTGGTTTCCGATGTAGGGCATGCTTGGTTGCCTGGTATGCTGTGATGTTGTGAAGTCTCAAAATATCAGTGACTCCTTAAATCCGTATTCTTCTTGGTTGTCCCCTACCTCTTGGTGTTTCTACTTTCACTTTGTACGCTCTCGTTTCTGGCATCAAAGGATTAATTCTCATTAAATGGCCAAACCATTTCATCTTTGTTTTTCAATGAATTTAATTATAGGTGTTGTTTCAATAGTTCTTGTAATTTGTATGTTTCTTACTTGATTACTTCTAGTTGAAAAAAATTCTGACTTTTAAATTACTTGTATTTGTCATTGTATTTTTAGAGGCTGGCAAGGCATTTGAGGATGCAGCAGAGCTTCAGTTGGCCATGGGAAGTAAACATGATGCTGCCACAAATTATATTGATGCAGGAAACTGTTACAGGAAGGCTGACCCAAATGGTATGTTAACTTATTCGGACCCAAATAGTATGTTAACTTATTTGGACCCAAATGGTATGTTAACTTGTTCTGACCCAAATGGTATGTTAACTTATTCTGACCCAAATAGTATGTTAACTTATTTGGACCCAAATGGTATGTTAACTTGTTCTGACCCAAATGGTATGTTAACTTATTCTGACCCAAATGGTATGTTAACTTATTCTGACCCATATGGTATGTCAACTTATTCTGACCCAAATGAATGGTATGTTAACTTATTCTGACCCAAATGGTATGTTAACTTATTCTGACCCAAATGGTATGTCAGCTTATTCTGACCCAAATGGTATGTCAACTTATTCTGACCCAAATGGTATGTCAACTTATTCTGACCCAAATGGTATGTTAACTTATTTTCTACAAAGCAAATGCACTGTGTGTTTACTGGTCACTTTGTATATCTTTGGCACCTTGTCAAAGTCACATTAGTGAATTGTAGAGATTTTCACCTAAATGTATTTTCAGGATTAGGATTTGTCATTTTACAATATGCAAAAGCCACACATGTGAATTCCTGCTTCAATTAGGTCAAAATTCTTCTATTCTTCTCCTTCTTCTTCTTCTCGTTAACCGGATGTGACTTTAGGCAGAAAGTTTTGGTTGTTCATCAAGTGCTGGAATTTGGTCTTGTTCCAGAATTAAAATTGTGTGTGCACATTCATTTGACAGATTTGGCTTATTTATATGCGGACTGTTGGTTCCTCCCCTCTCAGGCAGATGCACTCCGAATTTGAAGAACATCTCCCTGATTTTTACGACAGGCTTTTCTGACAGAGCAATGGATATATATTTTTTTTCTAAATCCCAGAATGGGTTTATCGGAACACATACAGGGAAAAATACTTTTCACATAACTACACAATTTCCATTTTCCACTACAGAGTGCAATGTGATTTTTCTTGGAAGAAAGGTTTAGCTTTCAAGTGGCAGAGTGCCAGCGATATGATGCACATATCTTGGTTCCAGAATGTTGCTACAGCAGACGCCTAATAGTAGAAGTAAACCACAGTGAAAAAAGATGATAAATACATGACTTTAAAAAGACTAAATCAACCATGACTGACTTCAGGCTAAAAGATTTTCATTGAGGCACATATATATAGAGTTAATGGTTGACTTTTTCTTCCTCAGCTGTGAAGGCATTTCTGGTTAGGTATTGCTTGCTAACACAGTGGCTCAGAGCACTTCTTCTTCTTCTCGCTCACTGGCTGTAAACTCCGGCGGAACGTTCTCTTTAATCTTGTTTAAGAATCTGAGTGTTGGATGTACATCTGTGTCACATCAGACTTGTATGCAGACTCTCTTGGTTCCTTTCCTGTCAGGCAGACACACTCCGACTTCAAAGAATTAGTCAACTCCTACGACATGCTTGTCGGGGAGGCAGTGGGTCTGTTCTTGTTTTCCCCCACAATGGGGCCCCAGAGCCCTCATGGGGAGGACTCAGTGCACAATAGTGGCAAGACTTTTTCCAGTCAGTTAGGTATTGGGGTCTACCCATCCTCATAACATTGGTACTAAAGATCTTTCAAGGAAAGACTAAAGATCTTTCAAGGAAAGAACGAGGCCGATATGTGAAGATGGTAACCCCCATCCCATTAGTGACATAGAATAGGGAAATACCTAGCACTTTATATATCTGCATCAGTGTTTGTCAAGGCTGTCTTTAACTTTGTTATAAATAATGTATATTTTCTGTTTTATTCTTTGTTTCGAAGATAGTCCCCAATCTCTGCTATAAGTTTCTACATGCACTTCCCAATGTCTTCATGAAAGTCTAAATACATCTGCCTGATAGGCAAGTTAAAAACAGACTGCAGGCAAGCTTGGCTGACTGCAGTGCTGTAAAATAGATGCACGTGCAAAACTCAGATCCTGGAACAAAGCTAGCAATTAGGTGTTTACAGACTATGAACACAAACAAATAAGAACTGTTTTGTATTGCGAAGTGTGAACAATATCATGTGTATCAATGGTAGTTGAGAATAAATGACTAGAATGGTAAATTGCAAAGTTTGAAAAATATAATTTCATTTAGGTATCTCTTTACTTTAAATTCTTTTACTATCTACCCCCTTCCTCCGCTCCATAAGATAACTTTTAAAGACCATTAACTTGTATGACATAGGGTACAAGACCAAAGAGACTCCACTATAAAAATTGATTTTAAAAAGGGCTCCGCATGTCAAAAAGGTTGGGAGTGCCTGAGCTAAACCATTCCAGGTGTTTACAATGGCATTCAGTATATTACTGTGGGGCAGTGGATTCCCACAGTAATTGACTACGATTCTCCCTGCCTTATGCTTCTCATGTGCGTGTATGCTGTTGGATTGGCTAAGATCGCAGTCTGTGTCAATTTTTGTCACAAGGGACAGTGATGGACATTCTGTGTGATTTTTATTAGTAAAGAAACTGAAGAACTTTGGGTTGACCTGTTAACTATGAAGTTGGAACTACATAGAATATATAAAGGATTAAATTTACACCACAATGGCAGTATCTGCTGTGAGAACATTTTTACGTAATAAGTGTTGTTAACATTCTTTATGTTGGCAATAGCTTTGACAATTAATTAATTGCTTGTTTCACAGCTGCTGTTAGTGCAATTCACAGAGCCATAGAGATTTATACAGACATGGTATGTTCATCTGTTTCATTATATTCTTTTGTAGTTGCATTGATATGAATTTGAGTGCACTTCTTCACTACTTCTTCTTCTACTTTCTAGCCCCCACTGGAGCACAGGCCCTCACCCAACTCACGCCAAGTCGTTCCTTTGTTATCGCATGCAGCTCTCCCCATGTCCTCCCCATCTTTCTTCAAACTATGAAATAATAATAAAAATCCAATATTATCCTTATTGGCTTTTTATAGATGTCCTAAAATAGACGAATATTCTTCTTCTTTTTTTTCTGCCTTTTATTCCCTGATTGATCATAGGCTCTCATTCATGCCAGCCTGGAGAAAATGAGGCACCTGGGTGTAACCAGAGGGTCTGGCCGACTCACTACACTCAGAGGAATGGCAAGACGAACATATAACCAGATTGGGACCAGTACCGTCAGTATTGGAACTCTGTGCTGGCTGCTGATGATGAGGACAGAGCATGCATGGGAATGCCCCAAGTGCTGTGATGTCAATTCTTGACTCAACTCAACTCAACCAATCATGCCAGGCTCTCCTATCTTGTATCATCTCCTGCAGTACCCTCCATGAAAGATCTGAACATACAAGGGGCTTTAAATGAAAACCTTACAAGTGTATTACAAATTAACAGTAACCATACCATTGTCTTGTAACCTGTCAGTATTGTTGTTAAGAATGTCAAGAGTGTTAAGCTTGTGACATCACTGTGTAGACAAACATGGCCATAAAGAGAATAGGCACCAGACAGTAGCAGCATTCTGTTTTCATTTTTTTTTTAAAATCAGTGAAATGATGAAACCTACAGAAATTTATCAGGGAATGAATGGCCGATGTGGTGATATGTGCCTGTGAATCCAGCTAGTGTATGAGTGGAGTAGGAAGTTTCAAAATGGCGTGCCTCTTTGACAGACTGTTCATGACCATGTTAGGCACAGTGAGTAGTGACCCAGAATCGATTATACATAACATTCTATAATTCTCGTGTTAACAAAGAACACAGAGCATTAATTACGTACTGAACATAAAAAGCAGGAGACTGGAGAACTGGCAGCGATCAAGAGTCTGAAATGTTCATGTTCACACCACTTGAGCCTTGATAAGGGCTTGCATCTTTCAGGATGAAATTGGCAGAGAGACCTTGCTCATAGTTGCTGATTGGGGTTTCCATGGTGAAGTGGTTCAAGCCGTTTGCCTTGCGCTCTAAAGGTCGCGGGTTCATTCCATGGCTGCGCCCTTCAGTTCACGAGTGCAGTTTTTATGGAAATCCCTGGGTATCATCACACGAGCTACAGAGTTTGTGCTCTGTGTGGTGCTCTCGGCAGGCGGCTAGGCGTTCTTCAGAGAGAGACCGAGCCATATGAGATAAATCCTGGTGCAGTAAAGTTGATCCTCTGGACTTTAACCTCCAACCTTTTTTTTTAAACTAGTTGAATTTACAAAAAAATTAGTTGTTAAAAAATACTTTCATACTTCTCAAAAATAAAGACATTCTTTGCTTATGTCATGAGAAGGAGAAAACTGGAGTATCTCATGAGGATGGCTAGGTAGGAGGGGAAAAGAGACAGAGGGAAACTAAGGGAGAAGATGCTGGACAATTTGAAATCATGACATGGAAAATGTCATCTGTGTCAGAATTGATTAAAAGTACACCAGACAGAAGGTTAAGGATATAAATGACTGCCAACACCACACAACATAGACTATAAGGTAAAGATGGTGATAACTGAAAGAAATGATTCTTAATGATTTCTTTGATCTATTCCACAGGGGCGATTTTCAATTGCTGCCAAACATCATATTACATTGGCTGAAATATATGAAACTGAATTGTCAGATATTGAAAAGGTATTTATTGTAATTAATACTTTCTATTGTACTTTTGACTTTACAACTTCCCCGAGATTATATTTTCCATTATGAGAATTTTTAGATTGTATTGTTACCAATTTGCCAATAAGTTACCAGGACACTTGTGCGAAGTAGAGACGATAAATTTTTTTCTAAAGAACTTCGTGTGAGGAAAGGTCTTCCTTTGTGGCATCGATACTCGGAGCTAAGCAAGTTGTAGTGGACAGTTGACCCTCTCTATCGGTCAGTAATAAAGTTTTCACTCAGTGGACACTCAAATCAGATTTAGTGCCAATCAGGTTAAGGGGGTCACTACACAGTGGACACTCAAATCAGATTTAGTGCCAATCATGTTAAGGGGGTCACTACACAGTGGACACTCAAATCAGACTTAGTGCCAATCATGTTAAGGGGTCACTACACAGTGGACACTCAAATCAGATTTAGTGCCAATCATGTTAAGGGGGTCACTACACAGTGGACACTCAAATCAGATTTAGTGCCAATCATGTTAAGGGGGTCACTACACAGTGGACACTCAAATCAGATTTAGTGCCAATCATGTTAAGGGGTCACTACACAGTGGACACTCAAATCAGATTTAGTGCCAATCATGTTAAGGGGGGATCACTACACAGTGGACACTCAAATCAGACTTAGTGCCAATCATTTAAGGGGTCACTACACAGTGGACACTCAAATCAGACTTAGTGCCAAATCATGTTAAGGGGTCACTCGACACAGTGGACAATACCTCAAATCAGACTTAGTGCCAATCATGTTAAGGGGTCACTACACAGTGGACACTCAAATCAGACTTAGTGCCAATCATGTTAAGGGGTCACTACACAGTGGACACTCAAATCAGACTTAGTGCCAATCATGTTAAGGGGTCACTACACAGTGGACACTCAAATCAGACTTAGTGCCAATCATGTTAAGGGGTCACTACACAGTGGACACTCAATCAGTTAGTGACACTCATTCTTTTCATTTGCTATCGGGGTCACTACACAGTGGACACTCAAATCAGACTTAGTGCCAATCATGTTAAGGGGGTCACTACACAGTGGACACTCAAATCAGATTTAGTGCCAATCATGTTAAGGGGGTCACTACACGGCATTTTTTTCCAATTTATGACAAAAATATCACTTTTTCAATGTGTTCATTTTTGTAATGTTCAGCATTCGTAGAATAGATTACACACAAAATTTGTGTCATTGGTAAACAATTTAGCATTTAAAAGTTAATACTAAAGACACCAACCCATGCACTTTTTTAAGATAAAAAAAAGTTTAAAAGTCACTTTTCTAACAATTCTACTTTTCTGTTTGTTGTTTGTGGGATCTCCTAAAATCTCAGCTAATATAAAGACTAGAGACTTGAAATCTGGTGCGGATACTCCTAACACATTATTATAAGGTCAGGTCTATTTGAAATTACAGTTTTATTGAGTAATTTTTAAAAAAAATGTGATTATTATTTTAAAAAGAGACATTTTTGTAGTTTTTTAACATACCTAAATTTTAATATTCTAAAAAAAAATATTTAGAAACATCTTTGACGTAAAAAAAAAAACTAAACCTGACCCTAAACATAGGTTTAAAGTTCATGAATCGATCATCTGTTTCTCAATACCTCTGTTTGTTTTTGAAATTTTAGCTAAGTACATGTTGTTTTTTCATCAAAATGGCGGCTGTTGCCATGGCAACCATGTTTTTTTTACACTTGAAGTCTACAAATGATACAACATACATCCCTACATATGACCATTATAAAATAATTGGTCTAACATTGTAAGTAAAAAAAAAAAAATTTTCTGTAGTGACCCCTTAAGTGGACTTTATAACCCATTTGTGAATTCTTCTTCTCCTCAGCTTTCTTCTTCTTCTGCCTTCTATCCTGCCAATGGAACATAAGCTCTCACCTAACTCACACCATTTCATTCTTTCATTTGCTATCGCATTCAGCTCACCCCATCTTTTTAACGTCACTCTCTAGCTCCCTTCTCTCTGTGTTTTTTGGTCTGTCTTTATTTCTATGCTCCTGTGGGTTCTAGTGCAAAGACATTCTAGTTTGATTGTTCTCAGATTTTCTGAACATTTTCTTTCCTTTTAGCTTTCACCGGCTATAAACTCTAGCAGAAAATGTTGGTTGTTTATTCACTTCGGGACTTTGTCTTATTCCAAAACTTGAGTTATGCACGCACATCTGTTTTACAGATATGGTTTAATTATGCACAGACTGTTTGTTCCTTGATTCTCAGGCATATGTACTCCGACTTTGAAGGAAACACCACTAATTAAAATTAATAGCCCTTTACAACAAGCTTGTTTGGGGGGGGGGGGGTGGGGAACAGTGGGTCTATCCTTCCTCCACCCCACCAGTGGAGCCCAGAAACCCACACTGGGAAAGTACTCTTTTTGATAAACCTCATTCACCCATGTCCAGTGGTTGTCTGATGAACGACAAAGACCCTCTCATACTATCTTTTTACTGCATCACTGAGGACCATCAAGCCCTGAGATCCCTTTGCCAGTTTGGTTTAGGTCTGTCATTGTATTTTATCTGTGGTGTACAATGAGGGAGGAGCAGCTGCTTGACTGTTTAATATGGGAGGCCGAGGTTCGAATGTTCGGCTAGGTCATGGATTTGCTCTATTGGGGGCAAAAATAAATTGACTGCACAGTTCCATAATGACAGCACTAGCCTTGATCCTATCACTAAGCTCTACATCCTTAGGTTCAGAGACACTTCTGCTTACACCGCAAGTGGTAAATACAGGCAGTAAGTGGCAGTGTTTCAGTGGAAGGAGGTGGGGCAGTACAATGAGGACATGTAACCAACATTGAGCCAGCTGGTTCCTGAATTGAGACACATGAGATGCCTCTGTATGTAGGATAGTTACCCTAACTTTCCCCCATGCCTGTGATCAGAATCACCACACTGCAAGTCTTCTTTTTCTTTACGTCGTCTTTTACCGCTTCGGGTGTTGAGGGAGATATAAGGTCCTTCTTTCGTGCTCTTCTTGCTGCTTTGTCTATAGACACATAGTGGTGCTGTAGAGTTTCTCTGATGCTATCTTCCCATCTTGTTCTTGGTCTACTTCTTGCTCTACATCCTTTTCCTCTTTTGATAAAGGCCTTGTATGGTATAGCATCAGAAGATTTTCTATCAAAGTGGGCAAATCATTTGATCTTGTTCTTGGTCTACTTCTTGCTCTACATCCTTTTCCTCTTTTGATAAAGGCCTTGTATGGTATAGCATCAGAAGATTTTCTATCTAAGTGGGCAAATCATTTGATCTGCTGTCTTTGAATATAATTTAGAATTGGTTCTGTGAGGACTTTATCGTATGACCTTATTCCTGATTTTGTCTCTTCTGGTCACTCCTACAGTCTTTCTCAGACTGCAGTTAGTTACTTTATATTTAATGTACTTTCCAGGTTTAGCTACAAGTATTTTGGTTGTGTATAAAGCAAAAGCACCTTGTGAAGATTTCTTATTTGTCCAGTATAGAAAGCGATTTAAATGAATGCCATAAGAGAAAAACAACAAAAGTTTATGTCTAACAGGGCAACATGTATTATTTATGTCAGTTCTAATCTGAAATGAGTTGAAAGCAACATTACTTGTAATTCTGTTTTGAAGTACAGTTACAGATGATTGTTGGGGGAAATATATCTTAGAAAATATAATTAAAAAGATAAAATGATAAAGTCTAATGTTGATTTAAGAATCAACATCCTAGCACTCGGAACACTCCCATACACGCTCCATCCCCCATCTTCAGCAGCAAGCAAAGAGTTCCAATTCCAATGGTGCCAGTAACTGTCTGATTGTTTAACCGTCTCATTTTCCCCCTGAGTGTTGAGCGTCTGCCAAATCCACTGGTAACTCCTTGCAGCACCATTCTCCTCAGGCCTCAATGATTATCTGCCCTCTGCACTGTTCACTCGCTCTCAAAGGGCCCTCACAAAATGTAGCATGTTATACATCAGTTCACCACCAAGTGGTGCCGAGCCGGCCAGTCTATAATAATGATAATGTTTAATAAGAATGCATAATAGAAAAAGGTAAATTTGTGTAATGTAGTCTTGGTAACTTTGTACTTTTCAGGCAGTCCAAAACTATGAGCAAGCTGCAGACTATTATAAAGGGGAGGAATCAAACAGGTAATATAATGTTGACATGTATATGAATGTTTATGGAAAATGGTAAAGCTGTTGTTGTTGTTGTTGTTGTTAGAATAGACCCATGTCCCCTAACAAACATGTCATAGTAGGGTGTTGCCTTCAAAGTCAGAGTGCATCTGTCTGAGAGGCGAGGGACCAACAGTCTGCATACATATAAGACAAATGTGTAAAACAGTTTTGCGTGCAGAACTCAAGTTCTGAAGCAATACTAAAGTCCAGAAGTGGATGAACAGCCAGAACGTTCTGCCTGAGTTTACAGCTGTTGAGCGCTTCACTGATAGTGGTAATCTGTAGGTTTAATTTTTCTTTTTTTTTTTTATTGTGTGTTTTTTGTTAAACAATATCATCCCTATTATGTTTGTAGCCTTTTTTAATATGATTTATGAAAAAAAAATTATTTATTTAAAAAAAAAATTATTGAACAGAGCATTTTTTTCTGTCAGTATTAAACAATAAGTATGCAGTATTTCTCCTATTAGTGAGGTTGAAAACATTTTTAATTGATGATTGTTAACCATTTTTTTTAAACTGTGATGATTTAACATTACTTTCAGCAGCAGTGATTGAATATTTTTCCATCAGTAATTATGAAACATATATTTTATCAATAAAGATTGAACATTTCTGTTATCAGTATTTCATTAACATTTATTTTCAGTTCAGCCAATAAGTGCTTACTGAAAGTGGCACAGTACTCTGCGAACACTAGAAAACTATGATAAAGCAATAGAAATCTATGAGCAAGTAAGCAGATTCATATTGTTTGGTGTGATTGTGATAATGCACATGAGTATGACAAATGCAGTTCATCATAAGTCAAGGTTCAGCTTCACAGCATACAGATCACCCCATAATTGCTACTTTCCTGTGTCATTGCATTCATATAAAATGCCTTCGAAAAATAGGGAAACAGGTTAGTCTTATTAAAATCCAGAAGCTAGCAGACAAATTAGATGTGTAAGCCAAGAGGTGCCAACACAGTTTGCCACCAGAATTGCACTTCACTGTTGCTGGAAGCAGTCAGTTATGACAAACTGGTAGTTGCACATGTATTACTGTATAAGGCACTTAGAAGTCTGGATACAAACCAGCCATCCGCCATTTCAGTTCACAATAAAAATGGAAATAGAGGGGAAAAAAGGGCCATCATATCATGACTAGAAGCCAATAACACTCCAGGTCTTTAACAGACTGTTCATTGTATTCGACAATAAGTCTCAGGTGCAGTTCAAGAATCATCAAAAATGTATGAAAAACTCTGATTATAGCGTAGTAACACAGAAACTACGTTCACAACCCCTAAGCCACTAACACTGACAAACTTCTTCTTCTTAGTGTTCACCGGCTATAAACTCTGGGGAAAGTTCTGGTAGTTCGTCCACTTCTGGACTTTGGTCCGGTTCCATATCTTGGGGTTTGCGTGCACATCCATTTCACAGATCTAGCTTTTTTATATGCAGACTGTTGGTTCCTTGCCTCTCGGGCAAATGCACTCTGACTTCGAAGGACGCATCCCTAATTAGTTGCCTTGTGCTACATGCTTGTTAGGTGTGCAGTGGGTCTCTGCTTTTTCTCCCAAAATGGGTTCCCACAGGGGTTCTTCAGTGATTATCTCCAAAGATCTCAGTAAAAATTTCAATCATAAATTGAATATTGTGTTTTGTGAAACAAACCTGCGACCTTCATGGCATGAGGCAAAAATTACTAAACCAGGGTGACTGGCAACTGTAACATAACATTTGTCAACATTTTTATTTATAATTGCTGTTAACAAATGTGTCACAAAAATATAGAAATCATTGTCATATTAAAGTTTATTTTTTATTTTTCTAGGTTGCAACTTCCTGCATGGACAATTCTCTTCTAAAGTACAGTGCCAGAGATCACTTCTTCCGTGCTTCCATCTGTCACATGTGCATGGACATCATCAATGCCCAGGTCGCCATTAAAAAGTATGAAGAGATGTTCCCAGCATTTGCAGACTCCAGAGAATGTAAACTTGTTAAGGTATGGCAATGCAGAACTGTCATTTCAGCCTTAAGGCTTTAGAAGGGGCAGTGATGTTCTACTTTGGGTTTCTGGGCCTTATTTGGAGAAAACAAAATTGACCCATTGCTCCCCTAACAAACACGTTGTAAAGATCGACTAATTATGGATGTTTCTTCAGAATTCAAGTGCATTTTCCTGAAAGCAACCAGCATCTGTCTACACTACAGATAAGCCAGATCTGTAAAACGGATGTGCATGCAAAAGTTCTGGAACTAGACTAAAGTGCAGAAGTGGACAGGCAACCAAGACTTTCCACCAGAGTTTATGTGAGAAGAAGATGAAATGAATACCCATCACCATTACTGTCCAGAAATAAGATATCTGAGAAAGATGGTCCAAGTGTCAAGAAGGGACAAAGTCAGACAATATGTCAAGATCTTGATACCCAGTCCTTACAAACCCGAGTAGATCAGTCACAGTTACGATGGTTTAAACATGTATGCAGAATGGGAGAAAATCGGCTACCTTGGCAGGCATGGGAGACTATGAACCAGGGAACCAGACCTCTAGGGCGACCCAGGGTGTGCTACGAAGACAATATCTGACAGTCCCTAACTGACAGAGGACTGGAATGGAACACAGCCAGAAAGAAAACTGCCGATAGAGACGTCTGGCGATCTCTCTGGCAAACCTCTACACCCCAAGGTAGAAGAGGAGCGACTAAGTGTGTAAGTAAGTAACATTACTGTCCATTTTAGGCTGGGCTGACCTGAGAGTCTAGGTTAATAAAAATATTTAAAAAATCATTGCCCTAAGAGGACTTTAGACACAGAATCGCCATACTGCCAGGGAATAGTTACAATTTATGAGTTTGGTTATCTCCACGGCACTCTGGACACATCCAAGGGTGCTCAGATTTCCCCATCAACATATGCATCAGCATCGCACAGGTTATCATGCCAGTCCTGTGCTGGTTGGCAAGACTTCTTGTACATCCAGTGGGCCTGCCATGCCTGGCTTTGCCAAACGTTACTCTAAATTTTCACATTCTTAGAAACGAGTAAGTGTAGACAGGAGTGTTTTCCCGGGTCCAACTGTGGCTCTGTATCTGATTGTCGAGTCCATAAACAAAGTTATCTCTCTGCCTCTTCTGTCTTTCATCTCCCAGTAGAGCTTTGACCCACAGTTACACATGACAACCCTTGTTGACTCGTTCTGTTTTTCTACTGTTTCTCTTCTGTGTTCACCTTAAAAAGTGTGGTTGACACTCTGTGTTGTGGTGGTTTACAGCTAGGCTGTGACTTCTGCACCTTTCAACCCAAAATATCTGATTTCACCATATCCATGCGTAGTTTACCTTTTACAGCATACTTGTTAAGGAGCAGTGAGTGTCTTCTCTTTCCCTCCCATCCCCACCCCCCTGATAATGGGGCCCTGGAAACTCACCTCCAATAATGGGGCCCTTGGAATTAACACCACCCAGTAATAGGGCCCTGGAACCAACCCAGGGATTTCAATCATTAAAGCTAAGAGCTTTGTCTTGCCTTTCTGTTACCACTGTATCTATCATTTCTTCTAACATTTTATTTTAGCTTACCAGAACTATATCCCAATGTATGCTCTTAGCATTAATAAGATGGTTCCTCCTTTTCTGCCTCATACTGTTCTCATCGACACATAATATTGTTTCAGAAACTGCTGCAGGCTGTTGAGGATGACAACAAAGAGCAGTTCACAGAGTCGCTGAAAGAATTTGACAGCATATCACGCCTGGAGCCATTCCTCACCACTCTCTTTCTGAGGGTCAAGAAACAGCTCAATGCAGAACCAGAACTATGCTAAAGAAAATACCCAAAGCAGTCTGAAGAAGAGGAGTCATCTGTTGTGATTTTTTTTTCTTTTTTTAAAAATCCAGATTGACAGCATAATCTTATTTAACTCTTTCAGTCCCAAGGAACACATCATATATTCATTGGTTCCTACTTAGAAGCCCAGTGAACGCAAGATGTGTTAATTTTATGTTTCTCTTTATGACCACTTGGGACTCTGATGGTGAACCCCATGAGACTGAAGGAGTTGAAAGTGAAAACTGTTTACTGTTGCCAGACCTTAACTGTTTCAGAACTAACCTGTAGTTATGTGAGCTCTAGGTGTCCTTGAAGTTCCTGTTTAAGGTAGCCTAATGTTTTAGTCCACAGAATGTAATATAATAAAGTCAGGGGGTTAAGTTAATAATTCAAGTACATTGAGTTAATAGATTATTATTGTGGTATGGGGCATCGCAGGATGACCCAGCCTAAAATGGGTACCAGTATGTATGTCCTGGGGAAGTAAAGACGGCTGGCGTAATGCTGACCACATTACCCACCTAATGTCGATTGGTCTGTAAAAATATGGGGTGCTCTTCCCATATGCCCGACGTGCCTAAAGGCGTGAAAAGGGATCTTTTCTTTACCTTTACAGTGAGATAATATTAGCGATGCTGTGGTAGAAGGAAGTTTGAAAGTTGTATCCTCTTTGGATTACTCTGAAAATGAAAGTTGAGTTGTTTTATGATACCTAAAGAGTTTACTCTTTCAGTAGTAAGGAACTTGCAAGGCATTCCTTGGCTACTGTTTATATTGTTCTAATTTCTATACTTTTGTTTTGTTTTTTGGTCGTATTCTTTGGTTTCAACGTATTCATTCTAGGTTGTTTCTATAACTTCTTCTGCGCCAACGTTGCATTTTTCAATTATATAAGCTGTCTTAAGTCCTGTAATTACTTTATTTTAGGGCAGCCTGGGTTCGTCTCGGTAAGGATTTGACATCACAGCACTCAGGACAAGCCCATATTAGCTCCGTCTCCCTGCTCAACATCCAGCGAAGAGTCTCCATACTAATAGCACCGATTGTCTTTTGGTTAAATACTTGTCTTGCCTTTTCTCCCAGGTCTCGAGTGGCACCCAGAGCCTGCAGACACTTTCTGCTGCACCATTTTCTCCAGGTTTCCATTATATTTCATTTTACTTGTTACCTCGTCCCACAGGCCAGAGATCACTGCTGCCCTGTGCAGTTGCAGTACACTCCCAATGACACTCAGGGATATAAGAATGTAGGACCACATGGCTTTGCAGATCATAATTTTTTTGTTTTTAGTCAAAGATTTTACAATTCTTGCTCTAAGGCAGGGCCATTCAATTGGCAATTAGCTGACAAAATCTGATCCGCAGAGGCCTGGCAAGTGTCCCAAGGATAACCTGCCTGTATTATTGATCTAGCCATGCTGGAGCTCCGGCCTCTGGCCCACGAGATCCCCATTTTCCAACATTTTGGCCCGTGAGTAAACCGAGTTTAATGGCCCTGCTCTAAGCTACAGAATGTTAAGAATAGTAAACAAAATAGATGGTATTGAAGTAACAACCAGCTGGGACTGAAAGAGTTAACCTAAATTACTGTTACTTGTCGGACTAAATCTTAGTGCAGTGTATTTTGAACCTAAATTACTGTTACTTATCGGAGTAAATCTTTGTGCAGTGTATTTTGAATCTAAATTACTGTTACTTGAGCATTACATAGGGCAGTGTATTTTGAACCTAAATTACTTTTACTTGTCGGAGTAAATCTTAGTGCAGTTTATTTTAAACCTAAATTACTGTTACTTGTCGGACTAAATGTTAGTGCAGTGTATTTTGAACCTAAATTACTGTTACTTATCGGAGTAAATCTTTGTGCAGTGTATTTTAAACCTAAATTACTGTTACTTGAGTAAATCTTAGTGCGGTGTATTTTGAACCTAAATTACTGTTTCTTAAGTAAATTCCGTATGGCGTGTATTTTGAATCTAAATTACTGTTACTTCAGTAACCTAAATTACTGTTTCTTATCTTGAGTCCATGCAGTGTATTTCAGTTTGGTGGATATTTCTAACTTGCTGGTGAATACATTTTGCACATATTTTAAATTTGTTGTTTTGACTGTACTTCTTGTTATAATATTTTTTACTTCTTCTTATAATGTTTTTTTTTTTCAACTTTGCAATACTTAGCTTTAGTATTCTTGAATTTTGAATTGTTTTTGATATCATTTTAAAGTTATTAAAAGGTTGGAAATTCTGATAGTTTTAGGAAATTTTGTTTATTTTTATCAGGTTGACATAAAAGATCTCTTCGGCATTAGATAGTTCTATGAGCACCTAGGATCTAGACCCTATTTTTTTTTTTTAAATGGCTTTGGCTCCTAGGTCGACCCAGCCTTGAATGAGTACCAAGTTAATAAGTCTTGGGAAATAAGGATGACCGGCCTGGTCTTGACCATAAGGATGACCGGCCTGATGTTGACCATAAGGATGACCGGCCTGATGTTGACCATAAGGATGACCGGCCTGATGTTGACCATAAGGATGACCGGCCTGATGTTGACCATAAGGATGACTGGCCTGATCTTGACCATAAGGATGACCAGCCAAATGTTGACCATAAGGATGGCCGGCCTGATCTTGACCATAAGGATGGCCGGCCTGATATTGACCACATCACCCACTGCATGCCAATTGGTCTATAAAATGTAGGTCTTGCACCATAGGCTCAACACACCTGAAGGCATTTATCATTCATCATTGGCACCTTTCCGTCTTTCCAGACGATAGTATAATATTGCGCTATAAGGAGGCATGAGAACTACAGCCCATGGCGATGGCGAGTGTGACTAGCAAGACCCGTCCGTGTCGAGAAAAGTCTTCCACAAAGATGGCATGGGATTTCAGGACCACTGTTAACAACATTTGTGTTTAATCTGTTTCTTTTCGGATGCTTAGCTCTCATAAAGGCATTAAAAAGAATCTTTTATCAATGGTGGAATAAGTTGGGATTTTAAGGTATATAAACTCGGCTGGCAGAGTAGTTACAACTTCAAGCTCTCATGTGGGAGACGTGAGTTCACCTCCGGGTAAGGTGATGGAGTATTTATGTCAGGGGCAAAATTAAACATCCTGACCTGTACAGTCCATGGCAACAGCACTAGCCATGCAGCTCCATGTCTACACCGCCCTCAAAAGTTATACTTAGAGACAGTAGTAAAGTAAAAAAAAGTAAAGGACCCTTTCCACGCCTTTAGGCGTATAGGGCATATAGGGCTAGACCTATATTTTTATAGACCAACGGCACAAGATGGGTTATGTGGTCAGCATCACGCCGGCCACCTCTACTTCCCGGGATTGCACCCGGTACCCACTTAAGGCTGGGTTGAAGAGACAGTAGTGACTGTTTAAAAAATATATATATGGTAGGAGAGTGATGCTTGTGAACCATTCTCAAGTAGGAAAGTATTTTTAGTATGTCTGCTAAATAGAAGCCAAAATATTTGCTCCAAGGAAGGACATCTTCTGCTGGAGAGATTTATGTTATGCATGCTGTATATTTTGCATTTACACTACATTTGCTGAAGTGTTTGATAATGCGCATTTGCTGTTACAGGCACTGCTGTAAATATTTCCACTTCCTTAATGTTTGTAATGGATTGTTTAGGCTGTTTGGTGTGTTTTAATGGGGATAGTTTATTCTATTTACTATATGTTATTGTTTGTTTAATGAATGTAGACAAAAACTGCTGGTTGTATCTGTATCATATTTTGCTGTATTTCTTCAGGTTTATTACTACAGAGTTACATCATGATGAAGTATAAAAACTGAAATCTTTCCACTGAATTTTACAAGTCACATTTGAACATTGAGATCTCTTTGAAAATTATACAGTTGGCTGAAATGGAAAACTTCATTTTTACTTGTTTGCAGTAGGAAATCACATGTATGCCTTTGGCATAATGTGAAGGGGAAGTAAATAGCCCTGAAAAGGAACTCAGTTGAAAATTGCTAGAACTGCAGTTATGGGACTTTGGTGTAATACCAACATTTGTGCTATTTTCTACACTTTGAGACATGTACTCTGTTTATTGTTTAACTGTTATTTATTTGTATTAGATTCGCCTTGTCATTACTGTTGGCTGATTAAGGATTTCTAGATGCAATATCCACTTGGGATTATATTCTTGTAGAGATAACCGTTTCCACCTTTTTTTTTTTTTTTTTGCTTATTATTTACTGTACTTTAAGCAGTAGTGTATACCATTATCAATCAGTCATAAACGCATTTGCTGCAATTGATTTTCTTTCTTCTCTTTTGCTTTCTGGTAAGTAGTTAATTAATACTGGTTGTTAATAATTTGTTTTTTAAAAACAAATATGATAAAATACTTATACAGTAATAATCAAATTAGCTACCTCAATCAATCTGACAAGGATTGATTGAGGTAGCCTATTTAATTATTACTGTATAAGTATTTTATCATGTTACTTCAAAAAAGAAATACACATTTAACAACCAGTAACCAAGTCAATGGATGGAAGGATTTAACAATGAAGATTAAACACTCAGTTTAACTCACCATCATAGTATTTCATAGTTTAAGAGATCTGTTAGCCCATTTGTCGAGATTACATTTTTAAAAGGCTAATGCTTTTCAGTTTTAATGGATGCCAGTGGTAGTTGGGAGACATGGAGCAAATGTTAAACGCATTAAAAAACAAATGCCTAAGGAAATTGATGAACATTAAATAGGATGAATTCAAGAAAGACAAAGAAATAACAGAAATGTCTGGACAACTGCAGGTGTCATCAATTTAAAGTCTGAGTTCATCTGCCAGAGAGGCAGGGAACAAGAACGGCACACAAATAAGCCAGTAAAATGGATGGACAGGCAAAACTCAGGTCCTGGTAAAAGCCAAAGTCCACATAGACAAACAGCCAGGACTTTACGAAAAAAGCTAGGTATCGTATCTTCTGCCATTTCTTATATTGTAAAAATTC